CCCCCCTTTCCTCCCCCCAGTGGACATGACTCTTTTTTGATATTTCTCTCTTCCTCTCACAAAGACTCCATGTCTCGAAGAGAGTAATTTCCCCCAACTTTTCCCCGCACGACCCCAACTGCACGTGAATGCTTCTGCAAAAGCAACACCCCCATTTTTTTTCCTTTCCTGCACCAAAGTCGACCCTAGTGTACTTTTATTTGGCTTTTGTCAGCTGTAGCTTATTTATTTTGTGGGCATTGCAGTTCATGCTTGAGTAAACTTTTTTTTTTTTTTTTAGCTCTCTTGCTGTGGGAGAGCTTCTTTGAGACATATTTTATTGTGCAGTTATTTATTCCAATGAATTCCTGGCTTACGCATACACTACCTGATCCCTTTTTACTGGGAAGGACAATGAGCCTGAATAGTTTTCTTTGTTTTCCAGACTAGAAGGGGATTTCTGTGACCCATTAATGATCCTCGGCTCTCCATAAATTCATCCCTCTCCCCATTCCAAGCAGTTCTCTTGATCCTGTGTCTCTCCTAACACTTCCTTCTAATCTCAAACAAGGGTTTTATTCTCTATTTTTTATAGCGAGAGAGGCCCTTCCCTTCTGTTTCTCTCGTCTCCCCCCCCACCTCCAAATTTATTTTAATCTTCACTCATGCTTCATGTAGCAGCTTTCTTGATCCAACAGGAGCTTGGTCTCTTTACACCATTGCTTGTAGGGAGAAGGCCTGGAAAACGGGAGAGCTTTTTTCTTTCCAGGAGGGGTGGGAAGCAAAAGATAGGAGGCAAAGGTGAGTTCTGTTCCTAAGTAATGACTCCAAAGGACCCATGAGAAGGGAAGAAGGAGCTCCTCCTTTGACAGACACCCATCTCACTTGCTTGGCTATGGAGTGTGTGCAGGTTTCACCTGTGCAGCAACAACGGAAAGCTGCCGAGGGGGACCATCTGCTGCTGCTCCTGCCCACTCCTGCTGTGCAGAAGGAAGAGGAGACCATTTTGGGGGGCTCTGACACCTGGGCTGCTTCCCAAGTGGACAATAACCAAGATGGCATGAAACGTCAAGACACTAAGGATTTTTCAGAATGTTCTAAAAGTACAGAGACCCTTCACTCCCAGCATCACCAACCTTATGTCAGAGATACTGTAGAGCGTTGTACTACCTGTTCTTTAAAGGACAATCTGAAAGAGACTGAGAGTTGTGATGGGGCAGAGAAGCACTTGCAACCATTGGAGACTGTGAACCATCTGCTTCAGGAACGGTCATTGGTAAATGAAGTGGCTGATGGTAACACCTTTTTGGTTGCAGAACCTCTTGTGACTACTCAAGAATGCCTTAGGGACAATGAACAGTCTGCTGAGAGTAACCATTTGCAAGACAAGGCTGATTCCCCTTCTCAGGACTGCTGTTTAAGCTTGGAAGCAGCAAGTGGAGACACTCCAGCAGATGAACTATTAAGCCAGGGTTCTCCACCTGGTGATGATGGGAAGCTCAAGCCTGGGGCAAAGCATGTCACTTTCCCTTCTGATGAAGACATAGTGTCTGGTGCTGTTGAGCCTAAAGACCCTTGGCGGCATGGTAAGCAAGGATCATCTGTTCCAAATACCCTCATTCTCTTCTTGGGGCTGGACTACACTGGTCCAAGCCAATTATTTTAAATACAGATTTGGTGTTTGTGCTGCAGTCTTTAGGGTTTTGCAGAACATTTAGGTGCAAAACAGTTCTCATTCAAAGTATTCTCATTAGCTATTTTGAATTGGAGGCAAATCAGAGAGAAACATTTTGCCCTCCACTAACAGTAAATCATTATTTATTTGTACTTGATTTTACTAGGCACTTTTCTCCTGAAAGGGCTTCAAACCACATTATATAATCAGGGGATATAAATGCAGCACAAAAAAATTCCTATTTAAGAAGATACATGACAAAATACTAAAAGCCGATTTAACTGTACAGTAATTAATTAAAAAATGGCCAATCACTAGGCAGGGAAGGCTCTTGAAAACAGTCTTTAATTGAGTAAGTTATAAAAGGAGGCAAATTGGCATGTGTCCATATGCTGAAAAATTCTCTACAGGTTGTCCTCAACTTACAGCCACAATTGGGACTAGAACTTCCATTGCTAAGCAATGTAATTATTAAGTGAGTCACACCCGATTTTATGATTGTTTTTGCCATGGTTGTTAAGTGGATCACACAGTCGTTAAGGAAATGTGGCTTCCCCAATTGATTTTGCTTACCCCCTGGGAAGTTCACAAATGGCAATCATGTGACCCTGGGATGCTGCATCTGTCATAAATACATGCCAGTTGCCAAGTGCCCAAATTTTGATCATGTGACCGTGGGGATGCTGTGACAGTCGTAAGTGTGAGGACCGGTTGTAAGTCACTGTTTTCAGTGCCATCGTAACTTTGAACGGTTGTTAAAGAAACGGTCGTAAGTTGAGGACCACCTGTAGTGTGGTTGCTGCTGTGGATAATCATGAGTTTCCCAAACAGTGTCAGGACAGGATTGTTCATGTTTTCGGAGATGTAGTAAGGTTGCTGACATCTTTAATAATGCTGTTTTTGCATGTTTAAATTACTGAGTCACACCAATGTTAAAAGTGGACATAATTTTTTAAATTAAAGAACCCAAATTTTGGCAATCTTAATCTTACTAAAGAGACTGAAAATTCACTACTTCACAGCCAATAAAGCGATGCTTATGTTGTTTTATGTAAATACATGACAAAGAAAAACGAAGCTTCGCAGGCACTAAATGAAGAAGTTTCCTTGTTTTTAAATATTCTAAGAATATCAATAAATACACATTTTAATCATTAAATCATTCTTTTTGAAAAAGCTTTGCTGGCAAAAGGACTGAAGAAAGTTTTTTTCTTCCATGCTTTGGAGGTTACTCTCCCTTTCTGTTAATGTAAATAACATTATCCTGAATTCGTGGGTGTATCTTAAAAATCTGTAACATGAATGGTTTAGGCAAACTTACTTTCTTGGTTGACATGATCTCAGAATTTTGAGAGTATAATAATAAAAATAATGCTGCATTAATGTTTTAATGAAATCCAGTTTGGTGTAGTGGTTAAAGTACTAGGCTAGAAACCAGGAGACTGTGAGTTCTAGTCCCACCTTAGGCATGAAGCCAGCTGGGTGACTTTGGGCCAGTCACTCCCTCTCAGCCCTAGGAAGTAGGCAAGGGCAAGCCACTTCCAAAGGCAGTTGCCAGAAGGCAACACTATATATATATAGTATGTATGTATGTATTGTGTGTGTGTATAAATGTTTTAATACCTTTGTGTATGGCCACTAATGTCCCTATTTAGCAAAGGAGTTGCATATGAATGATTTCTCTCAAGGGTGGGAACCAGTGAATCCATAGCTCAGCAAAATGTGGTGTGGTTGGACAATGTAGTCACATGTTCTTGTGATGTTTCAGTCATGATTATTCTTCCTGCCTATCTTTTTATAATCTCTGTATAGATTATACTGTGGACAGCTCCATTAAACAGCTTATGGTATTTTAATTAAGGTAGTTAGAATACATATATACATTTTTTTAACAGGTAGAATCTCCTTTGAGACCTGCTTAATTCTTGGTGACTTCTTAGGCATATCCATGTAGTTTTCTTGGAAATCCTACTTAAGTAGTTTGCCATTGCCTTCTGTGATTTTTTTTTTTTAACTTCTCAGTCTTACCTAAAATGTGCCAGGTGCGAACAATGTTCTCACTAGTATGGTACATAGGAGTGGAAAAATTGCGGTCTCCTGGTTGATAAAAAATGTCCTGGTGGTAAGAGTTTTCCAGTCCTAATGATAATGCATATTCTATTAGCATTAGTATTATTTTTCATTGCATTGGGTTCTAATCATAGCTGACATGTAAGTAGTTGGGATAGGGCATTATTAGCTATTTTGGAAGTGCAATGTTGCAAAGCGTGATGTGAGGGATGTATTTCAGAAAGACAGGCTGCCTAAATGTGTTTTATAAAAGGGCAGCATTTTGTTGTTTTGGTCCAGGTCCTTGAATGTTAATTTTAAAAACTGGCTGTGGGGAGGGAGAGGGACAATGCTTTCCCTTGGATTATCATCTTTGCATTGGAAGCACTTGATCTCTGTCAAAATCACAAGATGTTTTTCTTTTTTTGGAAACCATAACAGTAGCTCTAAAGTTGTGTGAGGATAACATTAATGTTTCTGTATTTCTGTGTGATATTTTGAGGATTTTCTGTGCTGGCGCTTACACTGATTCTTTAGTTACAGCATTAGTGTGTCTTGAGACAGTTTGAAGTAGTGAAATATTTTTGGTAAGGTTCACTGAATTCTTTGTCTTGAGATATAAATGGATGTTTAGAAAGTTAGTTTGAATGCATTGACGTTTGTCAGCACCAGGAACTTCCTTGTGTAAGAAACTTTGTTTTGAACTCTGATGCACATACAGTACAGAGTTTTGGAAATGCATTTTTTTTCCTGCCAGCTGACTAATATTTGCTGCTTCCTTCTTCTTCTCCTAAAAAAACGACACACCTTTTCATCTCTATCACCAAGTATATCCAGTGATGGCAGGCATTGTTTGTGCTGCAAATCCAGAGATTTTCTGGACCAGTCATGGTAGATGAAGCTATAGTCATGGCTTTAGATGAAACCACAGAACTGTACAATTTTGTAGTCTGTACATGTCAGTGTCACCCACATTTAAAGACCCATGTGATAGGCTAAAACCTAGGTTTATTGAACTCAGGAATAGAATCCAGTCAGTCCCCTCTCTTGTTCCTTTTATATGCATGACTGGCAGTTTTGCACAGAGATCCTCCAGTGTCAGGAGTTTCTACAGTAGTTTGCTCTGTTTATTTTATTAGCATGCCCTGAACTAACCTTTTGAAAGTGGACTCAGAAAGCCCTCTTGTGTAGGAGTGCTGTATGCATTGCTGATACTTTCTGAGTGTCCAAAAGAGGTGTAATATGAGTGGTGCAGTATCCATACTCTGTGGGTATCAATTGTTTATTAAGGATAAACATGCTCTTTATTGTAAGGTTTTGTTATGTAAAAGCAATAATTGATTCAGAGACAGTTAACACTACATCCTGTGTTAACTCTCTTTCAGGTCCAAATGCCTTCTTAATATCAACACTGTATGTTGATGTAGCATGTGTGTGTTTAGCCTTTTCATGGCATTTCAGAGTACCTTCGTAGAAATTATGCACTGTATTTAATGAAGGAACCTGAAGATGAGCTCTCAGAAGGATTTTGCATTGCTGTGTTGAACCTAAGCCAGTTTGTGTCCCCTGAACATGCCCAGGAGTCCTGTTAGTGAACTTTGCATGCATAACCTGCTTTTATAGAAAATGTTGTTCCTCTTATTTTTTCCTCTTCTCATTAAAATGAAGCTGCCTACTTTTGTTTGAATTGGGCTTAGGTGACCCACATTCTGTGTTTTGTATATTTTGATTAAATTGACAGATGCAGGAATGAAGGAAGAAAAGACTTCAAAGATCCACAGAAAAAGGATTATGAGTATTACAAGTCTTCCCTAGGGCAAAGTATAAAACCAGAATTGTGTATATGTTGTTGGACACTCTGTGAAAATGAGCGTTAACATTTAAAATAAGCTGGAGCTTGGGAAATTGTATTTGACATTCTGAAGAGGTGCTGCTATTCATTATAGACAATGTTAGACCAGATGAGCTAATTAGTTGTCTCCGTTTCAGACATCTTGCGTTCCAGTGTTCCATATTTGAGAAGCAGGTGATGCTGCAAAAAAATTAATGAGTGCCTTTGTTTTGAAAACAACAATGACAGATCCCACAAAACACAGCCTTCTGTGAAATAAATTATATAACAAATCAACAATACTCCCAGAAAATAAAGAATGAGGGCAGGGACAAAGAACCATCTATCTTCCTATTTATAGAAAGTTATCTGTCCACCTAAAGGGGATTCTTATTTGACACAAGAGACAAGTTCCAGGGCTGTTGATAAGCCTAAAATAACTGGGTAGGAACATGTTGAAACAGCCCTCTCTCCTGGAGGCAGAAGATAACACTGGGATTCTCTAGCCATGAGGGTTTAAAAGCTTACTGTTACCTGTGTATCCACCGCTGTGGAAAACAACGGGTCTGGTGCCCAGGCGGCTTTGAGTTTGACAACAAGGAGGGCAAGGCTTACAAAGGAATTGGAAGAGGTTTCAGACATGGTTGAAGAATAATGCTAGGTACAGTCAGCTGTGGCAACTAAAGAGAACCTTTGGAGGATGAATCACATGGAAAAAAAAAATCCCAAATGCCTTAAAACAGGTGCTTGTTGTTTTTTTGTTTTTGTTTTTTTTTGCTTACAAAAGTCAGACTGTAAGCCATCTGGGCAAGCAACCAAGTGAAAGTACCCAGGTCTGGTTGCAATTCCTTTTGCAAATGGGGTCTTCCCATTTACAGCCTTAGCCCAGGAACCATGCTGCATTCCCCAAAATGCACACTGCGGTTGTGCGGTGAATGTGCTTCTGCCATGGATTCACAAGGCAGTCTCAGACAAGCCTGCCTGAGCTTCTTCCCTCCTCCTCTACAGTAGGACAGTGGGATTGTCCTGAA